TGTGTGTGTGTGTATGAGCTGCCAGGTTAAATACACATAACACAGTGCTTCCTTCAGCAGACAGATGCAGGAGAGCTCCTAGTAATACTAACTACCAGGATGTATTTTGTGGTACTGTTGAACTGTATAATACTGACAGGTGTTTCTTATATTTTGTCCACACCGTTTGTATCAGTAGGTTTGGCTAAATAACAACAACCTGTATTATAATGTAACAAACTGCAGCCTCCAAAACAGTTGAGTCAACATGTCTCTGAAACAGTTTTAAAACATTTAACCTTCTTTAAGGGAGGATTTATTTCATGGCTGTTGTATTAGACTGCAGTAGTTTTTGGTAGGTGTACCTAATAAGGTTCGTAATTGCTATTACAGTTAGAGTAAAGCTTTAGTGTCCCTGAGGGGAAGTTTAGCTTAGAGACAACAGAGAGATGATAATAAACACAGAAAAATTTACAATAATAAATACAAAATAAACTTTAACTGATGGAATAAAATACCTCCTATACCTCTTAGTGCCGCCTCTGGGCAGATGAAAACTCTGTCCTGATATAATTTAAATTAATGATGTGCTCTCAAGTTTATTTATGTAACATTTTATCAGCCAACACATCATATACTTGACAAGCACTACCGCTTTAGTTCAGGACAGTCATTTCCTGCTCTGATTTGTGTTGTTTTTCTTGATGTATTGTGTATTTTTCTCTCTTTTTTTTTTTAGATGATAAAAACGAGGTGATTGGTTGGTCACAGGGGTTGAGCGACAGCCGAAGGTGTATCAACGATGGGCCGTAAGTTAGATCTGTCGGGACTAACGGACCACGAGGCGGAGCATGTGCTGCAGGTGGTGCAGAGGGACATGAGGCTACGCAAAAACGAGGAGGAGCGTCTCAGGTTAGTTCTGATCTTTGCAGGTTTGAGCCCCAAAGCAGCCGGCAGCTCAATCACCAGCTGAGTGACTAGACTCGAAAGATGATAGACGCCAATATTGAACTCACTTATTTAGTTAATTATATATTAATCCATTTTTAGAGTCAGTTCCAGATTTCTCATCCTCACAATCTCAGCTTCTACTGTTTACTCTCAGTGCTCTCACAGCGTTGTTATGAGCAGCAGCCAGCAGACACATTGAGCAATAGCTGGTGAACATAGTGGAGCATTTTAGCAGCTAAAGAGATATTCCCTCAGGAGTTGGTAGAGACCAAAACAGAGCTAACAGAGAGTAAAGATGGGCAGAAACCGGACTCCACGAATGACAATGTTGCTCCATATCTGCTGGATGTGTGGCAAAATTTAGAGTTTGTGTACTTTAAACCTGTAATAAGGGAGTATTTGGTTACTTGAGAGCAGCAGAAACAAGTTGCACACACATTGACATACAGTGATATTACTTTTTTAAGTTGATATGGTTGATGATCCTTACTGCAGCAACACAATCATTCATTCGTTGTATTTCTTGCCACCTGCTGAATGTAAGTCTCTCTTTTAGCTCCGTTTTTGGTCTCTACTACCTCCTGATCTGGCTTTTCAGCTGCTAAATGCCCCACAGTGTTCACCAGCAAGTCGCTCACTGTGTCTGTCAGCTGTTTGGTGCTAACACTGTACATATTTGGAGCTTTTTTTGATTAAAACAGCTGCCTACTTAGAGAGCGGTAACCAGAACAGACTGGAGGGTTAAACTATGAGCTGAAACTCACTATAAAGCTCTGTGAAGCTGCACATTCAGGAGATAATTCTCTCTACGTTCATCATTAGGGGAAATCCCTTTTACAATGTCACATGTTCATTTGTACATTACTACTGTAAAAAAATCTAAATTATAGCTGCTTAGACTCAAACAACTTCAGAACAATTTTGTTTTCTCTGACTCAAGAGATCCATGAAAGCCTTAAACAGAATAAAATGGAAGCTTTATAATAAGTTGTATAAGCAGTACAGGTTCACATACCGATTTTCTGTAACTGTTAATTATTTGGGGCTCAGTTTGCATTCAAGGCATCTTTGGACCTCTGTGGGTATTTCCTAACCTGCCTCTCTACTCTGAAGTGTGTCCTTATAACACTGGACAGGAAATGACCTCCCTTTCCTGTTGTACTCAGACCAGCTTCCTCAAAACATCTATCCAGCCTTCAGCACATAAACACAGCGTGTGTGAACACAAAGACGGAATAATATGCTAATTTGGAGGGTTTGGACTGAGTTTGGTCCAAGAGTGAGAGGGGAACATAATAGTAGGAAATGGTTTGTCTGCTTGTCAGAAATAAGTAAGAATAACGTGGTTATGTCATTTCCTTCTGACTCTGTTTTTAGTTGTTCCTTGAGCTTTATATTGCCGCACACAACATTCCTCTGCTTATTATGCCAGAAAGGCTTTTAGCAATCTATTCAAAAGATAAGAAATTGGACCACACATGCAAGATAAACTTAATGGCTGTAACTTCCGGAAGATTTCCAAACAGAGGAATACTTTAATGTGGAATTCAAGCCTTGTACACTAAGTGACAATTACTTGGAGAGCTGATGAACTCTGTGATAAAATAATAGTAGTAGCAGTAAAGGTATTGTTTGGAGTTTTAGCTCTCTAGTAGCACTATGGACCTGTTTCCCCATAAGTTACATTTTCTGTGCATGAGGACTTTTACCGCACAATAGGTGTCATACTATTCCTCTGACTGACAGGTGGCAGTAATGTGCCAAATACTGCAGCACTGCCCCAACAAAGGCAGGGAAAAGCACGACTACAAGCTAGTAAACAGGGATGTAAACAATACAGAACATGTTCAAACTGTTTGTTTACAAGAAAACTCCACAGGACACATTTTAAGTAAACATACAGTTTGTATGTTTACTTAAAACTAAATTGCAAACAATAGAAAGGAAACTGGAGGAAGCTATAACGGCAGTGAGGTGAAAAGACGCGTACAGAGGTAAATCACAGAGTTAAAAGATCAAATGAGGATTGAATAGAAATAATTTCACCATTAGGATAAAAATATTTACTATGTATCCAAGTCATTGATGCTGTGAGTCTAAGGTATGTGGAGACTTTAGAATACAAATAAAGAGATAATCACAAAACCTCACAGGTCAAAAACAAAAAATAAGTACAAGGTTTTATTTTCTACACAAAGTAAAAGAGCTTTCAGTATCTGTAAATACAATATGGAAGAAGTACACAGATCCTTTACTTCAAGAGTTCTGTGTTTTTATTGTACATACTTATTGTTACGTTTGGGTTCTGTACCGTCTCTTGTGTATTTGTTGGGTTTTATGTATTTTTAAAGGCCCATCTAGGGACGGCATTGCAAGTTAACTCGGGCTATAAATGTTCTTTTAAAAATACAAGTAAAAGTCCTGCATCCAAAATCCCACTAAGTAAAAATACAGACAAAACATCTCCTGTCAGAGATTATCTTATTATATATGACATTATAAAATAGTTGATGCTGATGCTTCGATGTGTGTTTGTAGCATTTTACTGTTGCAGCTGATTGAGGTGGAGATAATTAAATACTACTACTTTAGAGACTGTTTTGTCCAGTCAGGGCTGAATATGAATATTACCTCATAGTAATAGTAGAATATAATAATGTAGTGGAGTAGAAGTAAAGTACCTTAAAGATCCGGTGTGTAGGATTTTGCTCTATGAAGAGCCAGTGCCTTTCTGGGTTAGGGCGTCTGTACATAAAACTTTCTCATTCTAAGGTAACGAAAACACAACAGTTCTTATTTTCAGGTGGTTATAAACTAATGAAAACAAACCTATGA